TCATCACATTTGCATTTTTTTGTTGAACGAACATTCGCTGAAAAAACGGGCTTCGTGAAGAAGACTGATAATCATTCATGCCTGGAGGTTCATGCAGCTCCTTATGCAACACCTTCATCCCAGCCGACAACTTTTCTCCCTGCAGCGGGAAGAGGCCAAAACATAAACATGAGTCTAAATATTAAAGTACAGCGCAGGAGCAATTCCTGCTGTAGCGATCTGCAAGCTTAGCGCAAAAACGCATGATGGCACCGGTAAGCCTGGTGCTTCGCAGCCTGGGTCAATTTATTTTCATCCGACAGTGCACGATTAATTTTCGACAATTTTGGACTGTCAGTTGTTCATCGGACCTGAATGTTTTGTCCAGTATGTTTTGGCGCGCCCTTTGAGCTCCAGTAGTATCTCGTTTATCTTCTTCGGTTCGCTTGTCACAATCACAACCTTAAAGTGGTGATATTCAATAAGCACAGCAGTGCTGCTTAGACTAAAACTATAATACAAAACTCCTTATACTCCATACTGCAGGAAAAAAAAAACCAATGGGAAAAGCTAGTAGCCTAAGTGACGCACCTTGACCGCCTGCTCGAAATTAGATTACCTTAATAAGTCAGTCAAAGATGATTCCCAGTCTTTATATTACTCATGCTCAGCAACTCCACTCTGCTACCATATTTAGTTGATAAATTTCGCTAACCGGCAAAATGCAATGGCAACTAGCGCTGCTTTCGTGCTCAAAATCGAACAGGGGTGACCACTCTAACTACTGCATCTCGAATGTTTCCGCTTCTCATAGAAAGCAAATACAACGGAAGTCTTGATTATTGACTTTCGATTATGCAAACTGGACTAGCAGATTAAACTCCCACTTTTTTCAAAAAATAAATGCTTACCTTTCCGGAGATTTCTTGCCCCGCGAAATAAGCACTTTCGGCATTATTAAATTCAATATCAAATTTGTCCAGTTTTACCATCACTCAATTCATCTTTAACTCATTCTGCAAATGAACATTCTGTCACAGATAACTATGTTTTTGACAATTATTTTCATAATTCCTCACGTAAATACGCGTTAGCGACAGCAAATACGTGTAAATGATATATTTAACGAATCAGAAGATGTGTTGGACACAAGTGACCATTCGTAAGCAGGCTTTAGCAACTTCAGTTTCCTTTTTTTTTTTAATTTTGAAATGGGAAAAATGAGGAGGAACTGAATATTTGTTTAATATTAGATGTTAAGCTACTTATTAGCTCTAAGCAGAATAGTAATAATAATATTCAAGGAAAATATACTGGCTAACAGTGAAGTGTATTTGAAAATATTAAGCACTGGAGCCTGCAATACATATTGGAGAAATAGTAGTTCAGCTATGATTAAAACTATTGAAAATGACAATGGAAAATGGGGGAGAATAACTGAGTTTAGTAGATTCAAATCTGGCCGAAAAGCACAAAACCGGCTTGATGATGACCGATTACGCAAAACGATGCCAAATTCAGATACTAAATAAATCACATGTGGGTGCTGGTGGAACAGCAGTAATCGCTGCTTTATTCAGTTAATTGCTCGTCTCTAAATCCTCTCGACAAAGATTAAATTCTGGCACTGGGTTCCACTGTGGATTATACAAAGGTAAACTAGTGTTTTTATAGAATGAAATTTTTTGATAGAAGAGAGGAGTGGTTCTGTTTTGTTTACAAACAATAAACGATTTTCAGTCCAAAGATGATCTTCTGACACTTTAAAAGTTACGGCAAGAGATTATGATAATGCTATTAACAGATGTTTGAAACGTACTAACTGGAGGTATGCAGCAAGTATCGAATGATCAGACAGAAACTGCACTTGGCATATGGAAGCATCCCAATAAAATCAGTAACATGAGGCACCAACGACTGCCCAATTGATCTTGGCATTCTTGATACATTATCAAATTTCCAAGGGGGTAAAGTATATCATGGCGTAAGTGTGGCAACGTTTGGGACAAAGTAGTGATGTTGGACTTCACCAGACACTAATGCCTTGCAATACTTCTATCCGGAGAAGCGTTGAACTAGTAATCCCTGAAGGGGACAAAATATGCGTCAGGATTAACAGCAAGCTGACCAACCATGCGATATCAGTCAAAGCATTTGGAAAACTTCTCTTCCATATATTCGGAGAATCACGCTTTAAACTGCACTAGACTTAAGTATAAAGTTGTAAATGTGTTATCAAAAAAACATTTTCTTCACATCCTAAAAGTATTATTTTTTGTTGCTTCATGTCCTGAACCTTTCGAAATTTCATATTTTGTTAAAAAAGTTTTTCATTCGATACTAATAACTTGGTAATTCTAAATGTGACTGCAGCGGGTAGAAATCAGCGCTCGCAAGAAAGTGCAGCTTTTGTTCCTCCCCTCTGCGTCACTCAGTCAGTACCGACAGCATTCAGTGGCGAGAACGGCGCACAAATTAGTTCTTATGAAAGGAAATGCGGCTAAAAACAGCAAACTTAATCCATTATCCAGGAAATCAAATTTTTAAGCGTACTAATTAACTTTCTGCGCTTCGCCAATTTCAAAAAATACAGGGTAAGGGCACACGGAGAGCAATGGGACGGCGAATGGTTGGCGCCAACAGGCTACAACACATTCCAAATGAAGTGCTACGAGCCAGATCTGGCGTGAAAGACATTATTGAAGCAATATACGCCAGAAAGAGGAGATGGGCTAGTCATGTGGCATGGACGTCAGATAATAGATGGACAAAGCGGATAATGGAATGGCATCCGTGTACAGTCAAGCGAACACTGGGGAGACCACCAGTGGGGTACAAAGACTTCATGGTACACCTGCATGGTATCGCTCAGAGAGCGCTACAACGAATCGAATGGAGAAGTTGCCAGCTGCTCGAGTATTCGAGTAAGGACGCACAAGTTTCTTTACATTTTTCTGGAGATAATGCTAGATGTATCGCACTTCCTCCAGTTATCAGCAATCCTTCTATACTACTGCACGAAGGCAACGAGACGAGCAAGAAGATTCCTGTGATAATGGATTTGGGGTAAAGTTATTCGAAACCATATAAAAGCTGATTAAGTAAAATTCACGCGTTTGATTGATACGAAAATGCAGAAATGTGCTGCAGCCATTTCGCTCTCCTCCGTTTCTCCTGGGACTATTTATTTTTTTTCTTGCTTAACCTATCTATCGGAAAATATACTTTTAAGAAAATGATGAAAACGGACGTATTTTGAAAACACGATTCAAATAACCCAAAATACGCACATGTTTGCATAATACGAGAATAAACTCATTTACGGGATGCCCGCTGGGATAAGAGATAAGGCCGACTAGCAAAAGGAAGGGAACAAGGCTGGCCAGCATTTACAAATTACATAGCAAAATATTTTGGCGAGTGTGAGACTCTTCTCTGCTTTCGAACTTATTTTTATGCAATTTTTGAAATATGTAGGGAAGATCCCACTAAGATAAGTTCATGCAAAACGTGAAGATACGACGAAATTTTACTACTCACCAACGAGCAAGGCTAAACTTAATACTTGAAACAGCTACTAGTTCACACTGATTTATTTCTCACCCATGAGCAAGGCCATACTTGTTACTTGAAGCAGCTATTAGTTTACACTGTAATTTAACAACGGTTCATTCGACAACCATGCCATTTTCATTCTACATTTCACGCTTTTTTTGATCAATGATGCGTTGCTTGGTGGTCAGCTTTCTGGCAATCCTGACGTACTTTTCGCCTACACAGAGGGAATTGCTAGTTTACTGTCTTTCCAAACAGAATCATTTTAGCAAGGCTCTAATACGGGATTCAGCGATATGTGTGTTGAACGTCATTATCTCGCCCTCAGCCGTTGCTGCTCTCAGATTACATTGAGGTATTTTACCGCCAAGAAAGAGGAAAGCCATAGATTAAAAAAAAAATCTTGAAGTAAACTAAGAGAATCTTAAAATCCGGTCGAGAAATTTTGATGGATTAGATTGTGGCGCAGAAGTAGGCAAAAACTTGTGAACCGCGTTTTATTTTTTTGCGTCCCGACTCATAACAGCTCAAACTACAATATCCAGTGCACTCTACCACAGATGTTACAAAAAATCGAAGAAAAGATGTTTTATCGATTCATTTCTTGCTGTTCGAAGCAGTTTTTCGAAGCAGCACAATCAATTTGATAAAATTCAGTCCTTCAAAGACTCTATAGTCATTTTTCTTGAAATCAGAGGTACCCGAAAGTTACCCAAGTGGTAGCAAGCGCCAACAGTAACTACCAGCTAGCACTGGCTCTTAAATGTTTGTTGGAAACAAGTTAACGTAGTTTCTTATTCCTGACATGCGGGAGCAGCAATTCGCCATCCAAACTTATTAAGAAATCGCAGACTGCTTGTTCACGTGGAGTAGCTAACCCTCGACTTTCAGCACAATAGCAGCACCACTTGCAGTTGTACCATAACTAGTAGTTAATTAAAGTATGAAAGTTATAATAAAAGCTGAAGAAAGCAAAAGTGAGAGGTCGAAAAACAAACACAAATTAGTGATGAAATGCTAAAATGAAGAGGAGAAAGAAAGAAGGGGAATGAAGATGAAAAGAAAAAAGTCGTAAGGTAACACGGCTCATTAAGTCATGAACGTCTTATAAATGTCAGCTGCATGTTTACGAAAACGACTTAATGGGAAAGCTTTTCGCTCTGATTTTCGCATTTTGCAATTTTGCAACTGCCTTTTTGCAAAAAAAAAAAAAGGAAGAAAGAATCCAAAAAATTTTTTGCCGGGAAAAAGAGAACAGTTCAAATCCGAATAAAGCATAGCAATGTATTAATAATATCAGTTCCATGAAAACGAACGCTGGAGCCGCTTACGAAGAGATGGCCTACAGCCCAGAATTGGTTTACAGAACGAAAACCCAACAGGATTTGCAGCCCAGAATTGATAGGCTTGGCATAGCTGCGCCTCACATGCCGGAACACCG